CTATCTATCTATCTATCTATCTATCTATCTATCTATCTATCTATCTACCTTTTGTTTTTGCTTGGTGAGGCAGTGATATCTCCTGCCAGATTACTAGAGCAAAACTTGTAGAGGGTCAACCAATTCTCCCTTCTACCAGAAAGTCTACAGACTCTCTTCTCCTATTGAGGGAAGGCTTAAAGGCTTTTCAAGACTAAAATCTTGGATTCTTAAATTTGGAAAAGAACTCTGAGCTCACTCAGTCCAACTCTCTATCTCATTCGAGATTTCCCTCTATGTTATCACTGACAGGTGGCTATCCAGCCTCTGCTTAAAGACCTGTAACATTAGTCACAGAGAAGTCACTACCTTATGAGGGGGCTGGTTCTATTTTTGGATAGCTCTAATTGTTAATAAGTTTATATTAAGCCCAGATCTGCCTCCCTATAATTTCTATCCATTGATCTTAGTTTAGTTTCTTAATGTGGGGTCTGTGAACTTTTAAAAAATTTGGTAATTATATTTCAGTGTAATTGTTTCCTTTGTAACCCTATGTATTTTATTTTATGCATTAAAAAAAATTAGAAGGAGCTAGGTTCCGGCTAAAGTGAGTAAAAGTGTTGGACTTAGTCAAGAAGAATTGAGTTCAAATCCTGCCTCTGGTATTTACCAGCAGCAGTGTGACCTTGTGTGGCCCTTCTCAGTCTCGGGCTTAGTTTCCTCAACTGTAAAATGGGGATAATAAAAGCACTTCACTCACAGCATTGTTGTGAGGATCAAATGAGTATGTACAGTGCCTTATAAACCTTAAAGTGTCATATAAATGCTTATTATTATTATTATTATTATTAAGAATCCACAGGTTTCACCACACTGATACAAAATGTCTAAGATACAAAAGAGTTTCAGAATTATATCCTAGTTCTAACTCTTGGGGCTAGGCATCATACTTCATCCCCATTCTATACCACAGTCCTTCAAATATATGAAGAGAGCTCTCATGTCTTCCCTAAGACTTCTCTTTTCCAGATTTTACATCCCTAGTTACTTCAGCCAATGTTAATATAATACTTTTCCCCCAAGTCTATTCACTGTCATGATCAACTCTAGATGTGCTCCAGCTTGTTAGTGGTGCTCCTAATTGAACAAAATATTCCTAATGTCATCTGACTAATACAGAGCAGTTGGGGCACAATATATCCATCAATGCACCCTAAGCTTGCATTAGTTCGTTTTTTTTTTTTTTTTTGGCTGCCACATCACATTGTTTTCTCTTAGCAAATTTGCGTTCCATTAAAATCCCTGGTCTTTTTTCATTTCAAAAATATATCTCTTCATTGATGCTGATACTTAATTGTGCATTAATTATATTTTACATAACACCTTATTAGAAAAATTTTGCTAAAGACTGGTTTTATGTGTACTTTTTGGAGTCTTGGCTATGAGAATATACAATCATTTTAGGGACTTTATTTCTTCACTGGGTTTGGTGGGAGCAGTGGAAAGCTGGAACATCAGAATCAGACTTCCATGAAGGTAACCACTTTTGTTGGAAAGTTTGACCTCCTCTTAGGACCTGCAAACACAATCTAGGAGTTACATGGAATAGGAGCTAAAAAGGCCTCAATGTAGTTGCAAAAAGGATTGTTTTTCAGGGAGTCACAGTCCAGTGATTCCTAATAAAAAATGAATGGGTAAAGATTGATCAATAGCCTTGCAAGGCACAGAGACACAAGTTATTGATCTTGTTACACCCTGGACCAGCCAGCTGCCTGTGAAGTAGGTAAGCAAGCAACGAGGGTGGATGACTATTCCCTTGCCCAACATTGGTGCAATGCTGGGCACAGTCAGCATCCAGTGGCTGAAACACTTGAAATGAAATGCTTGTCTATGTAGTTTGCAAGTGAGGAAGTTTGTAAGATGTAACAGGCATTCTAATTCTTTGCCTTTTATTCTTAACAGAAAAAGTGGTTAGTAGCCCATGCTTGTGGTCCAGCAGTGGGGGCTAAGCAAGGCAGTGGGCAGGTTTTGGCTGACACTGCCAAATGAGGGAGGAAGACAGAGAATAGCAAACTTACCCTCACTCCCATGAACCTGTCCCTGAGAACGATCCATGAGAGCAAGAACACAAAGGCTTTGTTGCAGCAGAACAACACGGATACATCCGTAGTATTTATTTTCTTTATTGCATGTAAGTATAGGTAGTTTGTGAGTGTCCAAAGAACGCCAAAGGGAGCTGCCTTGGTAAAAAACACCTTCACTGTCAAGCCATTGTCTCCAAAAAATCGACAGCATTCCCTAAAACAATGGGAGAGAGGCAGAGAGTTATTACATGTCTAGATAGAGAACCAACCCTCCTCTCTCTCCATTCCCATCTTCTTTTTTTCCATCTATAGGGAACCTTTCTTTGATGCCTTCTTCTTGAAGCTGATTGACCTACTATGTCAGTCCTCAGCAAATTAACACACTTGAACCACTTGTATGTTTTTTTTCTGTTCACAGAAAGCCTCGAATAGGTTGTTTTAAATAGAAGTGAATCATATAATGTTGTGGCTGCAAGGGAACCTTAGAAATCATTTAGCTCAACTCCTTCTCATTTCCCCATGATGAAGCTGAGGGTGACTTGCCCAAGGTCACATAGCTAGTGGCAGTAAGTGGCAGAGTTGGGAACCAAAGCCAGATTTTCTGACTGTATCCAGTGCACCTTCTAATATATTACCCTGAATACTGGGATTATCTCAACTGATTCCCCAAGCCATAATAACAACAACAATGACAACAATATCAACAACAAAAATGGTAATAAAAATATTTATTAAGTGGTTTACATACATATTTTTGACAGGCTGTAATGGATAGAGCACTGGACCTGGAGTTAGGAAGACCTCAGCGTAAATCTGGCTTTAGATACTTGCTAGCTGTGTGATCCTGGGCAAGTCACTTAACCTTTGCCTCAGTTTCCTCATCTGTAAATTGTGGATGGTAATAGCACCTATCTCTTAGGATGGTTGTGAGGATCAAGTGAGATAACATATGTAAAGTACTTTGCAAACTTTAAAGAGCTATGTAAATGCTAGCTATTATTAATTATTATTAATTTCATACTTGAATCTCATAACTCTATGATGTAGATGTTACTATTATTCCCATTTTACAGAAGAAGAAACTGAAGCACATAGAGGTCAAATAATATGTCCAAGACCACACAGATAGTAAGTATCTGAGGCTGACAGTGATGTCAGATGTTCCAGACTCCAAGTTCAGTATACTATCAATTATTCTACTTCGCTTCTAAAGAGAGAGGTGAGTGTAACCAGAAGTGCTGCTGCTTGCATAGTCAACAAAATGCTTGTCTTCTCAGAAGGGATATTTTGCATTTGATTCCTATCTGAAACCGCATCTCTCTGGAGTGTCTGTCTCATTGAGGCTTGCCTTTGTGATTAGGTGGGGGTGAGTCTCATGCAATTCTATTACATTTGGTGAAATTCACATGTAAGTTTTATTGTGATGTGGCTTCTCACATATTTCGGGTCCATCAGTAAGGGGGCAGAAATTTCAGAAGATGCTTTTCCATACCTCCATCACCATCATGACAAAAGAGTTTATGAAGAGTGAGTAGGGCATAGAAATGAATGCTATTGGAGTGGGATGTAAGGAAAGGGTGATGCAAGTGGGTGCTGGAGTTCCATTTTATAGGGAAGAATTATTTAAGTTTGGGAAAGTGAAAACTAATGATGTCAGAAAGCAAACTCCCATGGCCAGGAAAAGGACTTTTGCAAGGGGGCATGGTGATATTAGTTGTAATGAAAACTTATCAGGGAAAGGCTTGGCCTGGAGAAAATTGCGGGCTGACTGTCTGTGGGAATACTAGGGCTAAGGGTTTTTGATGGGAAGGGGAAGGAACACAAGGGCATGTTAGAATATTACGCTTGCCAGGATTAGTGGTACAGGATCACAAATGCTGATTGGAAGGCCAGAAGTTCAGTCATATCATGCTGATCTACATGGCCAAGGGACAGCAAGAGCTAGCAGTCAAAGTGTTTTCCAAGACACTAAAATGAATTGCTATATCATGGAGGAACAGATAAAGGAAGAGGGCACAGGAGGAACCATTCCTAGAGCACATTAAACATATTCAGGGACTGAGTATGGCTCATGATATTATGTAAGAATGTGGTAAAGGGGCAAATGAAAACATGAGTCAAAAGCAGACTCTTGGGGAACTTGGTTGGTGTCAAACAAATCTTTGTTTATAGCTGCCATCAGTCTAAAATGCCATCTGCCTCCCTTTGTTACTCAGCTATGGATAACTGACAATAGAAACACAAAATGCATTAAACTGAAGTGAGAAAGAGCAGAGGGTTTTGTTAAGCTGTGCAGTGTGTGATACTCTTTAATCAACATTTACAGGCAGATTCCAGACTCTCAGCTTCTGCCTGATTGCTTACATCTTCACAGTCCTTCATCATTGGATAAAAAGCACTTCTACCACTATTAACTCATTCGATGCTTACAATGACCTTGTGGGATACAACAGGGTAGGTATTATCCCCATTTCACAGATGGAAAAAAATGACTTTGAGAGGCTAAATGACTTGTGGAAACTAGTAAGTGACAGAGTCAGGACTTCAACTCACCCAGTTCAGGGATATTTCCACTATACCATGCTCGAATTATTTGCAATGGTTTTCTAACTGGTCTCCTAGCATCAAGTCTTTCCCCACTTGTGAAACATAGGATAGAATTCTGGGCCTGCGATCACGAAGGCCCGAGTTCAGATCTGGTCTCAGATACTTATGAGCTATGGAATCATGGACAGGTCATCTAACCTGTCTGCTTCATTTTCCTCAACTGTAAAATGGGGATAAAATAGCACCTACCTCCTAGAGTTGTTGTGAGGTTAAATGAGAAAATATGTGCACAGGGGCTGACACATAGTAATTGTTTAATAAATGCTTATTTCCTTCATTTCTTCCTTCCTTCCCACTCCAGTTCATCTTCAAATTGATCAATAAGCATTTATTTAGGACCTACTATGTTCCAGGAAGGCAGCTAGGTGGCACAGTAGACAGAGTTACTGAGCCTGAAGTCAGAAGACTCAATCTGACCTCAGACATTTGCTACTGTGTGACCCTGGGCAAGTCACTTAACCCTGTTTGCCTCAGTTTCCTTATCTGTAAAATGAGCTGGAGAAGGAAATGTCAAAGCACTCCAGTATCTTTGCCAAGAAAACCCCCAAATGGGGTCATGGAGAGTTGGTTACAACTGAAATGGCTAAATAACAACAATGTGTCAGGCATTATACTAAGCACTGGGGATACAAAAAGAGGCAAAAGACTGTCCCTTCCCTCAAGGAGCTCACAAAATTTAAAAAATATATATGTATATATATATATGTATATATTTATATATATATATACTTTCATTTTTTGAACTTAAATACAACGACAAAAAACAGAACATTTTCATGGCCACAGCAAAAAGAGGATTCAATATAAAACCATGTGTTTCCATTTCACACTGTTTACTTTTTTTGAGAAATTATGTAATAAATACTAGACATCATTTTCATCATTTATACTGTTTTTCTGTTTCTCTTTCCAAGTTTTCTTCTGTTCCCTGCTGTGTATTTATATTTTTCCCCTCTCCCTCCCCACCCTACCCTAGAGAAGGCTACTATTAGATATTAATATATATGTAAAACCATTATATATGCATATAATTCTATTTATCAGTTCTTTCTCTGGATGTGGATTGCATCTTCCTTCATAGTTCCTTTGTAGTTTGAGCATTTATAATACTTAAAATGGCTTAGTCATTCAAAATTGTTCTTAGAACAATATTACTATGTACAACTTTCTCTTGGTTCTGTTCATTTCACTCTTCATTATTTCATGTAAGACATTCCAGGTTTTTCTAAAATCAACCTGCTCATCATTTCTTATAGCACAGTAGTATTCCATCACAACACAATCTAATGTAATCAATCTTTCACACTGCTGCCAAAGTGATTTTCCTTAAGGGTATATCTTGACGGTGACCATGACACTCCCCAATTCAATAAATTCCAGTGGCTTCCTATTGCTTCTAGTATAAAATATAAACTCTGGTTAGCTTTTACAACCTTTCACAACTTGGCCCCAATTTCATTTTCCAGCCTCAATGTATATTATTGTTCTTGCTTTGTCCTGCCGTTTAGCCAAGTTGGGCTTCTCTCTGATCCTTACCCACGATGTTCCATCTTCTGCTTTTAGCCACATGCCTGGAATGCCTTCCTTTCTTATTCCTCTGTTTTCTTTTCCATTAAGATACAGCTGAAGAACCATCTTTTGCATAAAGTCCACCAGTCCCATGTCCTATCCCATCTCAATTATACTTATGAGGTCTAATTAACTTCCTTGAATTAAGAAGTAGATAGTATATTTGGTTTAACATCAAGATCATTCATTTGTATATAGTCATTAGAGGCCTTAAGTATTTTTATTGTTGGATTATTGGGCTCCTTCCCTGCTCTTCTTCCTGTGTCATAGCTGGTATGAGCTGGGATGTCTGTTGTGGAGGTCATCTCTGATATGACTGGAAACTTACATATTGGTTTAATGCACTTTATCTGTGGCCAATAGACTTTCATTTCTGTATCCACAGGCCTGGTTTTGACATTCAAATTTTATTCTAAGATACCACCTTTTCTTTTTCTTTAAGTAGTGTTTGCCTACTAACTGCTAGGTAGCACAGTGGATAGAGTGCTGGGCCTCGAGTCCGGAAAGACTCAAGTTCAAATCTGGCCTCAGATACTTACTAGTTGTGTGACCCTAGGGAAGTCTTTTAACTTTGTTTGCCTAAGTTTCCTCATCTGTAAAATGAGCTGGAGAAGGAAATGGCAAACACCTACAGTATCTTTGCCAAGAAAACTCCAAATGGGGTCATGAAGAGCTGGACCTAACTAAAACAACTGTACAACAATAACAACCATATGAAAAATTACTCCAAATCACTAAAAATAAAAGAAATGCAAATCAAGACAACTCTGTGTTTATCTCACACTCAGCAATTTGGCAAAGATGACAAAAGATGGGAATGGTCAATGTTGAAAGAGTTGTGGAAAGACAGACACTCTTCTGGTGAAGCTATAAATCAATCTGGAATTGGATTAATATTTTTTGACCCAAAATTCTGCTGCCATTCATATTCTTCTAGGAGATCAAAGAGAAAAAGAAAAGCCTAATGTATACCAAAATATTTAAAGCAGTACTTTTTTTATAGTAGAAAAGAATTGGAGACAAAGTTGATGCCCATCA